CTATAAACAGCATATAAGGCATCGCTCAAGCAATTCAGGATAAGGTTAAGGCACGTATAGTTATTCGCTATCCATGCCTCTTTAGCCTGAACTGTTGGCTCATCCGCGTTCTCCCCCACAACAGGGGGATCCTCCCTCAAGTACCTCGCAAGGTTGAGGGTGGTCAGCCAAAACAACATCCTTTGCTGCCATATTTTAAAACCAACACCTGTGAACTTTGCCGGTTCTTTGACAGAGTTCGCAGGCAGCATGACAGTAGGATGTCCGACCGGTGCGGATGTGAAGACACCCGTGTTCGGTCCAAGTGAGGGAATGGCCGGTATGGCCGAAGCCATATTCGGTCCGAATGGGGTGACCATTGTGGCCGTGGCCGCGGTTGGTCCAATAACCGAGGTGACCGGAGCAGACCCCATAGTCGCGCTCGATCCAACGAATGTGGTGATCAGAGTGGACCCCACGGCCGCACTCGATCCGAAAGGAAAGTTGATCAGAGTGGTCTGCCCTACAGAGCCACCCAATCCAGCCGAAAGGTTCACAACCGGAGTCTCGGAACTACTCCCGTTTCCAGTGTGAGCGTCAAAACCGAATCCGTCCATACCCGCCATTGCGCACGGATATGACTACTACCTTAAGATTGTTACAATTTTTGTACGGATTACAACGGACGGGGAAGATGAACGGCCTCGGTAATAAAATAAATAAAATTCTGAATTTATAATTTATTCAAAATATTACAAAATAAACAGAGTTGAGAAAAATTGCTATATCTTCAAACAGCCTTGTTGTACGAGGACATTAAGGACTGGACTGTGAGGACGTTAAGCACTGGACAGCGAGGTCTTTAAGCACTGGGCAGCGAGGTCTTTAAGCACTGGACAGCAAGCAAAGGACGTTATGCACAGGGCTGCGAGGACATTATGCACTAGGCTGCGAGGACATTATGCACTGGGCTGCGAGGACATTATGCACTAGGACTGAATGCAGCGAGGTCTTTATGAACTGAACCTGCAAAAACACAACACCGTGGAAGGATAGCGGAGTCGCCGGAGCTGTCCTTAAGGTAGTAGTGCCCGCCTACCGTACCGGAAAACGTGGGCACTCTCCTCCCAGGATAAAACCGCTATCGTGTGTGGAGATTGTACGGACCAACCACACACCAACGAACAAGAACAACGTAGGAACGTTGACGACCAAAAACTTTAAAGGGGTTGCCGGAAAAATTGGCCGGAAAAACAAGAGCTCTCTCTAAAAGAAAATAATAAAGTGTTTTCTCTTTTTTTTTCCTCTCTTCCTCACGCAAGGCACACACCAAACAAAATGAGAGAGCCTTTGATTTTAATAATAAAGGAGTTTAAAAAGTTGTAACTCCTACACAATTAACCCATTGAATTAATCATGGCATTAGTGGTGTGTTTATGGTGATTAATTAGCCATTAACACGTCCGTTACGCTACGCTCCGTTTAAAATTTGTCCCGAATAATTGAGGATTAATGGCCAGTTAACTCCGTAAAAATGGACTAATTTTAAACAATACGTAAAATTAATAAAAGAAGATTGGTTCAGTAAAATTGCAAAAATTGCAATCCTCACCATATTCTTTTATTAACGGGTTAACTCTGAGAATCAATTTCTCATTCACCCTCTACCATTTTTGGCGTATAAATTGTCAAAACATTTATCTCATTTAAGAGAACACACGTCCATTAATAAACGGTTAAAACCGTTAGTGGACCTATTGA